GTTGGGGGGAGGTATGTGAGAGAAACCAAATGATACGTTTCATAATCAGAATCTTTATTTAGACTGGAGGAATCCGATGAGCTATGAAGCTCTTTTCTTCTCACAGATGTCCAGCGCACATGTACACTGTGAGAACACGAGTGACTGTTGTAGCCACAGTGGCTAAAACCACGTGGAGGGGAGGAGAGTCAAGGATGCGATGCACGGGGAAAAAGAGAAAGGCACGGGAGAGAGAAGAGAGGAGATGGAAGGTCAAAAAATAAGAGGGACAGCATTGTCAAAGGAACGGAGAATCGGGGGCAAATGGATAGCAGAGATGAGGATGGGGTGAATGATGGTGGTCGTGGTGATGATAATGATGGTGGTGATGATAATGGTGGTGAAGGTGATGGCAATTATGGTGGTGATCGTGATGATAATTATGACGATGGTGGTGATGATAATGGTGGTGATGGTGACAATTATGGTGATGATAATGGTGAAGATGGTGGTTGTGATGATAATGGTGATGATTGTGATAATGGTGGTGGTGAGGATGATGGCAATGATTGTGGCGATCGTGATGATAACTAAGACGATGTTGGTGATGATAACGGTGGTGATGATGATAATGATAATTGTGGCGGGGGATGATGATGGAAATGATGGTTGTGGTGATGATGGTTCAAATGACGATCAGTGAGTACAATGACAAGGAACAAACTGATTATAGAATACCAAAAACTACAACTTATAAATAAATAAGACTATCACAATCTTAGGGGACGTGAGCACAATCGTCATCTCGGGCGAAGCCAAAAATGCAAGAACATCATCGCTCAAACACCCACTCACCACCATACCAACTCGCGTATCCGACCTGTCACATACCCGCCGTGACCATTTATCCGCCCGCACTCCAGTGCAGTATTTGCGCATGGGTTTCTAACGACCAATAACCTCTATTGTAGGAAGCGCCTCTCACATTGCAGTGTCTCCGGGCGCTGCACGTCCATGTGAAACTACACTCACAAGCAGAGATAGCGTCTAAGCGAAATTGAAAGCTGAAAACAACAACAACATCAATGACTACTCTCAAAATAAAAAAGAAAACCCGAAGAACTGTGTTGAATGCGAATAACAATTACGGAGTAATCCAATATAATAAACATTTTATAGATCTATAGATGTCCACAGTATATATCGCACATTAGTAAGGCGTTATCCATTCGTTTCGCGTACGTTTTTGATGCTCACCCCCGTGTCCATTAACCTACTGCATGCACGGTGCATTGCACATCCTCGACTACGCTCACAATCAGAATATGTCACTGCAATGGAGGAATCCGACGAGGCATGACGCTCTTCTTCACTCATCTGCAGGAGTTTCACAGACGTGCCCTTACCTAGTCTTTGGGCACTCTGTATCAGGGGTGGGCAACGCCCTCCTGTATCGAGGCTCCAAGACGACTTTCAGATATATCTGTGGTAAAAAAAAAACCCGAAAGATTTCTCCCACCCCGGATAGCCTTAACAGACTTTAAGGGCCCGTGTTCAATATTGAGGGCCTGTGAAGGTCGGCACGGTAATACGAAGGTGGACAACACCATGCCCGGCCGTCTTTGTCTTCCCAGTGGCCATGTTCTACACATCACTATCAGGCACTTATTTTGGGGCTGAGTCGACCTAGGGGAGGGAGGCCCAGGACCGGTTCAGGAAAATCGTCACTGCGTGTTTGGTGGCCGCGAGCGGGAATCGAACTCGGGGTCGACGCCGAATTCGTAGTGCACCGCTCCCATACCAACACGCGCCATTCGCCACTAAGTGACGGTGACGTCACCACGGCGCCTGTGCCAGGCCAGGTGCACTTCGAGGCCACGTGAAGTGTCCTCCACGGGAGGTCACGGGACAGGGCAAGGTGCCATGGGTTGGCTGAGCGAGATGACTGGCAGATGCGCCAGCCGTATCCGCCGGTGGGAGCGGGTGAAATGAAGTCGCGGGCCCGGTTGTGGACCTTGGACCATTATCTTTACCACACCTGGCTCTGTAGATCCACGTCATAGTGGGCGAAACTTCTGGTCTACATAGTGCAGCTCTGGAGATGGTAGATACCCTGGCATTACGAGCCCTTATAGAACATATACTATATTTTACTAGAATCACTCGCAACGTTTATCCGTTGCTCACACAGTAAGCTTAAATAACACGATTGCTCAAATGTTTTTGTTTGTACTATCACTTTCTCTCCCCCCCTCTCTCTCTCTGGTTTGGAATTGAAATAGCCGTTTCATGTAATGATGACGCGCGATATTTTCCGTAAATTGGTACGAATCACGCTCACTTCTTTTCTTTATTTCGTCTTACAAAAAAAGCAACCCCGTTGCATTCTTCCCGATGAAGGCTGGTGGACCGAATCGGCCACATCTTTATTTCCATCTCGGGTGTTAAAAGGAAAACAAGTAATACAAAATTCGGTTGAATCAAATGAAACGTCGTTTCCCTTTTTTTGTTGGCATCTCAAACAATAAACACCACGCGTGGGGATCACGAAACGGAGGGAGAGGTTGTTAACATTTCAAAACACTTGGCCGAGGAGTCATCTCGGATTGATGATCTTCTGCACGTGGCAACCAGCGTCTCGACTCAACAGCTGTTGTCCATCTCCAGGTCACGTGAGCATCTAAGCCACGCGGCATACGATAAAGGCGCAGCCCTGCAATGACTCTTCACCAGATCTGCTGTAAGAAACTGATTTTTTTTGTTTTACATTTGTTTTTTGTTTTAACCAGGTAAAGCCCCAACTGAGCTATGCAGCTCTTTTTCAGAAGCGACCTGGCCACACAGCATAGCTCAACGAAGTGGCTCATCATCGCGTGAAATTCTACAGCAGCCAAATACTCCAAACGCGTGATGTGGATTCTAAATGACGGGAGGGCCAACCCCCGGAGGACCAGGAGAATAATCCACACGACCACGGAGAGAGAGAGAGAGAGAGAAAGAGGGACACGCAAACTCCAAATATACAACAGCCGTCAGGGTCGTGATCGAACCCAAGACCCCCTCCCCTGCATACCAGGCGAGGTAGTTAACATCTCACCACCGTGGCGCGCCCTGTTGACCCGTGATTTCCGGACTCGAGTCGAAAACTCGCTCTCAAGTGGTGGCTGCGATACATTTCCACGCGATAAGCCACTTCGTTGAGCCATCATTTGTGGCCAGGCCGCTTCGGAAAATGAACTATGAAAGTCAGTGTGGGCTTTACCTGGTAAAAAAAAAAAAAACAGGAAATAAATGTAGATGATTTCTGCCGACTTTTCCCACAACTGACCGAGGAAGGCGTCGTTGTCGTCTTGATGAGTTGAGGGAGTTACCCACACTTTACCCCAACCCTACACGCGACCTTCCAATCGCCTCGACGGTGATCCAGGACAGCGGGCCAAGCGTTCGCACAGCACGGGGCGAATCATTCACCAAACATCCACTACAAAGCATGGATAGAATACATATTCAAGGTGTGTGTGTGTGTGTAGTTGGGAACACCAGTAACGATTTATCTGAACCGGTATTGGGCCTCCCCTAGGTCGACTCAGCCTCAAATTAGCACCCGCTGCGGTGTGCATTAGACATTGACAACTGGGGAGACAAAGGCGTCCAGGGTGTTGTGCTGGACATCCATCACCCTCGAATGCCTTGTTCGCCTGCATAGGTGCTACTCGCAAACAGCACTTGCCACGCCCCCTGTTAAGGCTATACGGGGGAGCTTTGTCTTTGTCTCTCTCCATGCTTAATCAATACCGCACCCTCTGGTTCTTACGCAGTCTTTAACGCCACCGTGAGGCGATCGGTAACGAAATTAAAAACAACAACAACAACAACTTGACCGGGACTCTTGCTTCGTGAACGAAACGCAAGGCTTTTTTCAAATATGTATTTTATTTCACAATTTTTTTTGTTTGAATTAATTTATCAAGGTGTACAGTTGTTTGGTGGTGGTGTGTGTGTCTGCGTGTGTGTGTGTGTCTGCGTGTGCATGTGTATACATCGCGTGTGCAAGAAATAAATAAAACCTGGTACTTTGTACACAATTATCGTCGTATGTAGGATATGTATGTTTGTGAGCAACAGACTATGATTTTGGCTTAAAGTATAAGAGAACATTATATTTGATGTGTCCCATAATTATTGTAGCTATTTAAACAATAATAACGATGAACAGATGTGGATATGGATACGCACAAACAGTTGGGCGGTGTTCACGTAAACGTACAGCTGGTGGCGGTAATTCCACATTCCCATGGCGGGTGACGGTTCATCCATAGGTCAACCACTTTTTTATTATAATAATATCATCATCATCATCATCAATTATGATACATTAACTTAGCTATCTCTAAGCGGGTTAAATAAAGTATTTGGTACAACTATCAATACAAAGACGTAGTAGGTATCGACTCCACTCAGAACAAAAGTGGTTCGCGAAACGAACGGGGTGCATGAGAAGCCGCCCGGGAATGACAGCATGAGTTCGAACACGGCACCTCACAAACAATTCTGGTCTCCTCCTCCCTCCCCTCTTCCTCCCCTTGCCTCCTCCTCCTCTTCCACCTCCTCCACCCACAGACAGACCCTCCCCCCACCCACCTCTTTCACCGACCACCCCCATGTATCTACAAGTCAAAGGCGCCTGCCGCCACAGCCGTTCCTAGGGTACACGGCGAATCGGGGCGCTCGCCCCGGGCCCCGCGCTTTGGGGGGTGGGGGGGGGGCGTGGGGGGAGGGGGGGGGGCGCCGCGCTTCGACGTCACGGTGTCGAGGACAGCACAAGCAAACCTCTCTTTTGATTTTGATTTCGCCTTTGCACGGGCGCCAAACGGGTCAGCAACCAACAGCGTCGTAAAAAAGCCTTTAAATACCCGGTAACATCTCTCGATCGGCACGACGTGGGAGCCGTAGCTCGAACACGTACGTTACAAACTCAATATGAAGTTTCAACCTACGGGTATGATTTTCTTTTATATATATATATATATAAAAAAATGTAACTGACAAGTATACGTCGTCCCTTTCCATATAACAATAGGTACCCGTCTGTGACTGATTAGCTTATTAAATAACCATTGAATTCAATCCAATGCATCACCGTCCTTGTGCGCGCGCGTGCGTCAAGTTCATAGTCTGCGAGCTCCTCTTGCTGCGAACAGAAGTAGCGAGGAGCACGGGGGGGGGGGGGGTGGAGCAGCGGTCCGCACCACTGCGCTCTACATATCAGCCAACCCGATCGCATGAATTCGATTCCTGGCAAGCCACGGATGGACATCAGTGGCGAGTGTTACCTACAAACGATTCTGGTCTCCTCCTCCCTACCCTCTTCCTAACTCCTCCTCCTCTTCTTCCACCTCCTCCACCCACAGACAGACCTTCCCCCCACCCACCTCTTTCACCGACCACCCCCATGTACGCGGAGTTGGCGGTCTTCATCAGGCAGTGGATTGACCAAGGGCGTTATTGTTGGGTTGTTGTTTTTGTTGTTGTTGTTGTTTTTTCGGAGTGTTAACCATGCACGCGATTCGTCGATTATCAACTTCGGACTGCACGTGTGGCGAATCCCACCCCGACACCGATGCGTACGTTCATGTCTATTAAAATCGGAGTTCAATGTGACCCCCCCCCCCCCCACAGCCACTGCTGGCCGCTATACATTCCACTCATCACAATTTGAGTAAGAAACTATATATTATTATTTAACCGATCTGCAACCAGGAATCACGTGGGTGGATCGTCACAGACCTATACAGTACACGTACAGAGGAGCTGCATGGTAAGAAGAAAAAAAACTGAAACGAGATACAATAAAGAATCGTCGATTGGATGTATCCACGGTCCGGCATTGACATTTAATCAGGGTTCCAATGTAGGGGTCCAGAGGTTTGAGTTGCAATCGGTCGATCGTTACACCCCTACTAGAACCATATTATATTATACAAACCCTCAGAACAATGGATTCGACCTCTCATCCAACCTATCCGATTGATTTGCAGGGTGACGGCAAATATCCCCCTTTGCATACTCAATGCCACAACGGCTGCTCGCAACAGCCCGCCGTTCGCCAAGAAAATAAAGCGATCGTGCCACTGGTGCTGGTGCCAAGCTTGGTGCAGCCAATAACAACAAACAACCACCGCTCGCCCTTTTCGCCACCAAGTAACGGCAAACGTCACCACAGCGCTACTACCAGGCAAGGTGAATAACCCACAAAAAATATCTCCCGTATTGCCTTTAACAGACCGTTGGGGCAAGTTCTGTTAGCGAGCACCCTACGAAGGCCTGGCATGGCACGCGAGGGAGGATGGGTGGCCAGCACCACGCGCGACCACCTTTGTCTCCCTGGTTGCAATGTACACACACACACGCACCACGTCTTTCGTTGTAGCCAACTCAAAATGTTTATCCCCCCCCCCCCAACTCCTGAGTTGGTTCCCATTTTTTAATGCCACTCAAAACAAAATGGCGGCCGCCACTATGTAGGAAGGGAGGATTGGATCTATAGGACTAGGCTAGGCCTAACTCCTCAAAATAAAACAAGCATTCGCGAACAACGCACGCAGGGGAATCTCTCTAAAGCTCTCTCTCTCTCTCTGTCTTCATTGCATCTGTAATTATTTATGTTCTACTGCAGTCGGGGCGATGAGACAGACCCTGGGGTAGTCCAGGAGGACCCGGCCTCATCTTGGTGTTGGGCAGTTTGTGGTCTTTCTTCCACTTCATCCTCCGGTTCTGGAACCAAATCTTGACCTGGCGCTCGCTCAGTGCCAGCGAGTGAGCGATCTCCAGGCGGCGCCGCCTCGTGAGGTAGCGGTTGAAGTGGAACTCCTTCTCGAGCTCCAGCACCTGCTGCCGCGTGTAGGCTGTGCGCGCCCGTTTGGTCTCGTGTCCCTGGCTCTCGGAGTCGACTGCGGATGGGTGCGGTTCGGTGGTTGGTGGTGGTGGTGGTGGTCAAGGGATGGTTAATTTGGTGTGCAGCGAGAGAGGTAGTTGTGGATTTGGGTGGTGGTTGAGGGCGGTAGATGGTTGGTTTGGTGGGCAGTGAAAGTGTGGTGGTGATGAGTGGTGGTTGAGGGTGGACAGTGAAGGAGGTAATTCAGGTGGTTGTTTGTGGTTGATTGGTGGTGGTCGTGGTGAGGGAGGTTTAGTTAAAGTTGATTGTCGTGTTTGGTAGATGGTGGTGATTAGTCGTGGTGTTTGGTGATAGTGGTGATGATTATTGATGGTGGTTGGTGGTAATGGTGGTTGGTGGTGTTTGGTAGGGGGTGACGATTCATGGTGGTTGGATGGGGGGTTATCGGTAGGTCGTTGTGGTTGATTGGTGTTTTGGTAGTTTGTGGTGTTTGGTTTGTGGTGGTGGTGAAGGGGGGGGGTTGATGGAGGTAGTTGAGGTGGGGGAGGGAAGCAGAATGGAGGTCATTAAACCCGCACGTGACCTCCACGTGTGCTAGTGGCCACGTGCACACACAGTGCATGTGCATGTATCACACATACAGTATATGGGTATACATGACTTATGTGTACGCATATAAACAAGCATACATACACTTAAATGCATAGGCTTGGCACAAAGGCATGCACAACAAAGACAAAGATCCCCCTGTATGGCGTTCAACAGACTGTCGGAGCAAGTGCTGCTAGCGAGTAGCACTATTGAAGGCAGACACGGCACACGATGGGGTGGGCGGGTGGCCAGTACCACGTCCACCCGGTCCGCCTTTGTCTGCCACGTGGCGATCCTTATTACACCACACCAGGTACTAATTTGAGGACTGAGTCGACCTAGGGGAGGCCATACACACCTACCTGCACATAGTACATAGCACATACACACCGGCCATATGTCCATACATACCTACATGCATGCGCCTGTGATACATGCGCATGCATGTCTGGGTACATGCATATAATACGAAGACCGTACGTATAAAACTACAGGTACTACAAGTACGTGTACTTGTAGATTTATCCATACGTACACGTACATATACTCATCCGTCCACTTGAACACATACCTACTGCACAACAACAACAACCGCCATTCGTCACTGACTGGCGATGACGTCACCACGGCGCCTGTGCCAGGCTAGGTGCACCTACTGCATATACACATACACACGCATTTCTCCGCGCGTATAACCGTATTTAGGTTCACACGAAACATTGGGCTCACAAAATGCACACAGCCGTGCATGTTTATGCCAGACGGATCGCATTAGCGTACGCGCAGAGCCCATACCGTAGGCCACACGTAAACGCGCATACGTAGGTCTTGACGCATATATTTAGGGTACTATTATAAACAAATCCCATGATGAACATCTGTTTTTTAAATATATATAACCAATTGCACACGCTTGAATGAAAAAAAGAAAATGTATAATCGGCGACGGTATCGGGCAATGATCCTTCTGCAGGTATTGGCAGTGGTGCTAGCGTATCACCCTCAAAGCAGCTGCAATAAATAATATACTTAACATGCAAATGCATAAATGAAGTTATTACTGTATAGTGCTTAGTACACATGCATGCATGCATGTACGGATACGTGCATCGCACACAACTGTGTAGACGCGTGTAAGAGACATGTAAACTAATTTTGACTTAAACACAGAATAAAATTAATATATACACATACAGCGAACACAAAGACAAAGATCCCCCGTGTAGCCTTAACAGACTATTGGGGCGAGTGCTGTTCGCGAGCACCTATGAAGGCCGGCACGGCACACGAGGGGGCGGGTGGCCAGCACCACGCCCGGCCGCCTTTGTCTCCCCAGTGGCGACGATTACCCACCGCATTGGGTACTCATTTGAGGCCGAGTTGATCTAGGGGAGGCCCAGCACCGGTTCAGATAATCGTTACCGGTGTTGGCCGTGAGCGCGAATCGAACTCTCCCGTCGCCGGCTTTGTAGCGGCGGCGCGCTAACCGCTGCGCCACCGCTCCTCGTACATTTAAACACACACCCACGCATGCACACACGCACACAACACAAATACATATATCACGTTCAAGCCAGAGCCGCGTGCCATAAATCATTGCAAGTAACGCCACTACACGCGCGCGCGCGCGCGCACGCGCACACACACACACACCCCCAACTTGAATGGTTACCCCGCTCACCACCAGCCTTAGGAGTGTTAGGGTTCGAGTTGGGGTCAGGAACGTAGCGGAAAGAGTGCAGAGGAACGGAGCCGCCCGTCAGTTCCGTCACTTCAAAGCTTTGAAAATATTGGCTCCTAAACGAGTGCAATTAACATTTTATATGGCAATGTTTTTTTTTGTTCTCTTGTAGACTGATGTAGAATTTTGTGAGGAGTTAGCAGGAACCACCATTCCCCTCCACCCCCCTTTCTTCACCGCACTTGCAACCCGCCTACACGGACGTCGAAACATTACCCCGAGAACAACATCATCGCCACGGTGGCCAGGAGATGTCGACTACCTCGCTGGGTGTGCAGGAGGTCGTGGGTACGATCCCGACCCATGACGCCTGCTGCTGTAAATTTGGAGTTTGGGTGAATCTCTCTCCCCGTGGTCACGTGGATTTTTCTCCGCGTCCTCCGGGTTTATCCCCTCCACATTTAGAATCAACGTCGCGCGTTTAAGGTTTTTTTTAGCTGCTATAGATTTCCACGTGATAAGCCACTTCGTTGAGATGTCATTTTGTGGGCAGGTCGCGTCTGAAAAACAAGCTATATAGAGAGCTCAGTGGGGGGCTTACCTGGTAAAATAAAACATATATATACTTGAGTTTAGGAGCAAAGGGATTGCAGAGAACGGGATGTGAACTGGGGGTGCGATAGTTTGGCGACACGGGCGTTAATTCTCGAGGCAATTAGTCACTTGAGCTAATCAATAAAGTGCCCTGGCGGCTACACAAAGACTTTCCTGTTGGCCGGCCGGTGAACTTGCAACGACTTCTCTCTTTTATTTACCAGGGCGAAGCCTCGCACGGTCTGCATAGCCCAGGGGTCGGCAACCTACGGCTCCGGAGCCGCATGCGGCTCTTTACAGGCTGCTTCTTGACGATATGTACGTATGTACAGTATGTACTCAGATGCATTGCGGCTCTTGAAATACTGAATTTTGTACCGAATTGGAAAGAAATGGCTCTTCTTGTTATTTTGGTTGCCGACCCCTGGGATAGCCCAACCTCGTCACGACGGCCCTGCCCCCGCTACACTACATCCGTAGGGGATAAAAAGAGCTTCATAGCTCTACGGATTCCTCCGGTATGAAATCAAGATTCTGATTTTGATTGTGACATCGTGCAACGACGCAATTGAGCGTTGATTAATGGCAAGATTACTGCGTGTGTAAATAGATATAGACCGAATGGACCGACGTTTCGGGCCAGCAAGCAATCGTAGGCATCTGTGCGATTGACAACAATGAGAATGGTCGTGTGAAATTTTGGATTTCGCTCGTTCGAGCGGTAACTCGCACGGCGTGTGCCCCGAGTCGGGGGGGAGGGGTGGGTTGACATTCAAAAGCGCTGCACAGACGGATTCAAGAAAACCAGTCGCTGTGCTGCCATCTCTTGGTGGTCCAAGTCGGTGATTCTAAACGTGCCACGAACCAGGCTCAAAGCCTGCTGAGGTTTTTAATGTGAGATCCGATCAATATGGGCGGGTGCACTGCGGGTGATCTGGTCGCGTAAGATGTATCATGGGTGGTGGTGGTTGTATCGTCGCTGTCAAACCCACACGGTTTAGCCCGCATTCTTGTACGGGGAAATTGAGTTTTCAGCTCCATGCGGCATACAGCCGTTTCAATAGGGGTTAAAAGAAATGTATTGTCAATTTGTTTGTGTTTTTCCCTTGTGATGTGACTTTGCAAGATAAACGTTGAGATTTATAAGAGGCACGGGGTGACCAATAGGGTATGAATTGGTCTTTAATAAGGTAGGGGCACTGACAAGGGGTTGGCAGGTATGTTGTGCCAATAACAATATTACAAGGATAATATCTATACATGTTTATGTACTAAATAAAGCCTGACTGAGCCTTAAGACGATGCACTAAAACGGGGTTTTACTCGCTCTATGGGTTGGTCCGATTTCGTGCTGTAAACATTATATGCGGCCAGCCTATTTCTACCCAAAGTTTGCTGTATTATGCGGTTTCAAGTCACTCCACATGCGGGTATGCGGTCGGACGCGGGACAACATTGTGTGTGTACTGTGTGTGTGTGTACTGTGTGTGTGTGTACTGTGTATACTGTGTGTACTGTGTGTACTGTGCGTGTATACTGTGCGTGTGTGTACTGTGTGTGTACTGTGTGTGTGCTGTGCGCGCTGTTGTGTACTACGTGTGTACTGTGTGTGTGTGCTGTGCGCGCTGTGTGTGTACTGTGTGTGTGTACTGTGTGTGTGGTTTGTGTGTGTACTGCGTGTGTGTACTGTGTGTGTGCTGTGCGCGCTGTGTGTGTGTACTGTGTGTGTGTACTGTGCGCGCTTGCGTGTGCACTGCGTGTGCGCTGTGTGCGTGTACTGTGTGTGTGTACTGCGTGTGTGCTGTGTGTGTGTACTGTGTGTGTACTGTGTGTACTATGTGTGTACTGTGTGTGTACTTCGTGTGTACTGTGTGTGTGTACTGCGTGTGTGTACTGTGTGTGTACTGCGTGTGTTTTCGCTTTGTGGGCCTCTTTTTTTGGAACGCATCTACTACTACCACTACTACCGCATTCGTTCATTCAATTACTCATTCACTCGTTCATTCACTTACTCATTTACTCGTTCATTCACTCGTTCATTGATTCACTCGTTCATTCAATCGTCCATTCACTCACTCGTTCTCTCTGGACAGGCCTCCACTTTTCTGATGATCGTCGGCAACCAAAGTTCTTGGTGTCTGTCGAGGAGTTGTTGGTGGCAAGGGGACTCCGCTAAAACCACGAGGTCCTTGTCCCAACGCAACAGCAGCAGCAACGCGACAATTGCCCAAATCATTGATTGTTATTGTTGATTTTTTTTTAAAAGGTTGGCGATGCCATTGAGGAATTCGTTATCGCACTGGGCAGATATCACCGCGGGCGAAGCGCGTTTGCTTTGGCGTAAATTTGGCCTGCAATGAACGATCAATAACAACGTTGATGGTGATGATGATACTAATTGACGGCTTTACGGTAATAACGCGAGACTGCCTCGCGATCTATTTGAAGGTGCGAGTTCACATCCTGATGGTTTGGGGTGGTGCGGGTTTATACAACTCATCATCTCGATCGGGGGGGGGCGATAAAATAGGTACTAGTTTGTTTTGTTAGTTTTGGGCTCGGGAAAGCCAACAGCGGTTTGTTCTTATGAATGGACACGCACGCCCCCGCCATAGTGATGTGGAATTTAAATTCACAGAGATCGGGGTGGGGGAGATTTGGCGCTACTTGAAGGTAGCCGGTGCAACTTTGATGATTGGCACCAATGGTTGTAGAGGGCACAACGCCGATGCTGATGTAGTTCGCAGGGAAAGGCGACGGTCAGTTAGTTATGTACATTCCCGCGTAATTAGCGTGTCGCTAATTTGCTGGTTGATTGATAGCTAAGTGAACAACACCGATAAGCTTGAAAATCTTTAACGCATATAAATGCACACACACACATACACACGTGTGTGTGTATGTGTGTATTTACACGTGCGTATGCATGTATAGCTATGTATTCGTACTCTTATGTAATACACATGCTTGGGTCTGTGCATATGCCCACATATGCACATGCATATACATATGCAGCCACATAACCATAAACACGGGTATGCATGGATACCGATACATACAGATATGGGTATATATAGAAATAGATGGTTGTGGATATATGCACATGTATAGACACATACAAAGACATTGTATATAATCACTGGTGTGTATTGATACCCATAATATGGGTGTACATATATACATGCAGACGTATGTGTTACATAGGACGATACATGTATGTGATATAAGATAAAATGCACATACATGCACAGATATGTATGCATATAGGGCGATTCAGTGTCCTATATATATAAACCTATGTTTCGAAACATAAAACACAAACAAACCGCTAGAGCATGCATAACGTGCGATCATATAAATATTAGACATTTAAAATAGTATTTTATTATACATACATAATTAAGCAACACAAACACACACGCAAATCAATGCTTACACAACATGCATTACATAACTAAGACACAGCGTTCCGACAGATATTACAATATAGTTGCATTAGACACAATACTGTACATTGACATGCGTAACATATGTGTAAGACGAAGATAGAGACACAATGATAGTGTTTTACACGCTAAACACACAGACGCAACACAATGCGAGCACGTAAACACGCACACCACACATACATACGACAACAACACAACACACACAAACAGGCACAGAGTCAAGACATACACACAACAGACACGAACACACACACAATGACAGATACACATGCATAAGGGACACACACATGCACAGACACATACATACACGCATACACAAACATATACACTGACACACATGCACACACGTGATGCATATGTACATTAACGCAGTACATGAACACACGGACACAAACGCATACAAACACACAGTGCGCACTGACAACACACATGCCAGAGATGGATATACACGCACACAAGGGCACACACACAAATACACACACAAATACACACACAAATACACACACAAATACACACACAAATACACACACAAATACACACACACAAACGCACACGTACATACATGCAACTCCCCAAAACACAAATCGACACGCAAAGACACAACACAGTACACACATACATAGCCACAACACAGACATGCATTACACACAAACAGGCACATACACAACACACAAAGAGACACAAACACGCACTAATAGAAGCATAGAGACATACAGCACACAAATAGGCACGCACACAAGCTCAAAGAGACATAACACACGGACAAATAGACACAGACACGCATTAACACGCACACAAAGAGACACACACACACACACACAACACGCGCACACAAAGAGACACAGACACAAGCTCGAAGAGACATAACGCACACACAAACACACACAAAGACACGCACACACAACACGCGCACACAAAGAGACACAGACACAAGCTCGAAGAGACATAACGCACACACAAACACACACAAAGACACACACACACAACACGCGAACACAAAGAGACACAGACACAAGCTCGAAGAGACATAACGCACACACAAACACACACAAAGACACACACACACAACACGCGCACACAAAGAGACACAGACACAAGCTCGAAGAGACATAACGCACACACAAACACACACAAAGACACACACACACAACACGCGCACACAAAGAGACACAGACACAAGCTCGAAGAGACATAACGCACACACAAACACACACAAAGACACACACACACAACACGCGCCCACAAAGAGACACAGACACAAGCTCGAAGAGACATAACGCACGGACACACGCGCACACAAATAGCCACGTACACACGCGCGCGCGCAAAGATACACACACACAAAGACACACACAGACACACACACACAAATACACACACACAAAGACACACACAGACACACACAAACACAGACACACACACAAAGACACACACACAACACAAATCGTCGTCTCACCCGCGCCTCCACCACCGACATGAATCTTCTTCATCCACGGGTAAACCACGGGGGTCGCCATCCTCTCGGGCGAGTCCCTTCGCCTGCCACCACCACCGCCACCTCCACCTCCTCCTCCTCCTCCACCCTCTCGAGCCCTCATGGCTCCCCGAGTCTCATCCCCTGCGCCCGACTCCCGACCCCGCGGGCTCGAGGAGACCCCCAGAGCCGCTGCAGCAGCAGCCGCCGTTGAAGCGACGACCGCGGCTGCCGATGCCGGAGCGCTCGGGGTCGAGTCGAGGTTAGGGGTCAGACTCGGGCCACGGCTCGTTGGCGGCGGCGGGACGAGGGGTGGCATGACCCCGCTCCTCGGTGGACTCGAGTCCACGACTCCGTCGCAACTTTGGTAGCTGCCCGGTCCGCCCGGCGCGCATTCGAGAACGCGCCTTTCGCTCGCGAAGAAGTCGACGGCGGGTCCCTCCGAGATGTAGCTACTCTGGGAGTATTCCTCGCACGGTGGGAATTTTGGTTCTACGTAGCTCCTGTTCATTAGGTACGAACTCATCATGTTCACTCGGGGGTTAAAGTCGGTTCTTGTCCGCTTGTTCCTTCTCGTCTCGCTCGATTCGATCGCTCGATTCGCTCACTCGCTCGCCCGTCTGTAGCGCTCGCTTTTGTCTGCCTCTTTTCTCTCTCTCTCTCGTCTCTGCCTCTCGACTCCTCGTGCCTCTCTCCGTGTGTGTGTGTGTTCCCTCTCTCGATCCGAACGCCGGTCCTGTTCACACCGGTCCGTTGTTCTGGATCGATGGGTCGTTGGCTGTTGTTGCTGCTGTTGCTGTTGTTGTCGTGAAAGTTGTAGTTGAGAAATCAAACTGTTGTCGTCTCCACGTCGTGGAGGTCTCTCGTCTCGTCTCTCGTCTCTCTCCCGTGCGCGCGTGACAGTCGCTGGCTCGTTCCTGCCTTGCGCGGCGCGTGCGCGCCTCTAAGTTGTTGACACTGCTAATACAAAATGAATTGTTGCTGCTGCGGATGACAATGATGAAGGTGATGATGATGATGATGATAATTATTATATAGTACTGTTTATTAATATAACATGTTTTTTTTTAAATGCACTCTCACTCACACACACTCTCTCTCTCTCTCCCCCTTCTCTCTCCTCTCTTCCCTTCTCCCGACTCGCGACTGCCCCCCCCGGTTCGCTTACATGTGACGAGCGATGGCCAATAGCGAGATGGTGCAAGTGTGGAGGAACAGGGCGAGCTGCAGCCGAGTTTGATGGATGATATAGTGGGGCAATGTTGGGAGAGGGTGGGTGGGTGGGGTGAGGTTGGGTGCGTGTAGGTGGGAGGGTGGGGTGTGTGGGTGGGTGGGGTGGGGTGGGTGAGTGAGTGGGTGAGTTGATGGGTGGGTGGGGCAGTTGGGTGGATGCGTGGGTGGGTGAGTGAGTGGGTGAGCGAATGGGTGAGGCAGTTGGTGAGTTGGTGGATAAGGTGGGCGAGTGAGTGATTTGGTGGATGGCACAGTTGGGGCAATGTTGGGAGAGGGTGGGTGGGGTGAGGTTGGGTGGGTGGGTGTACGTGGGAGGGTAGTGTGGGTGGGTGAGTGGATGGGTGGGTGAGTAAGTGAGCTGGTGGATGGTATAGTGGTGCAACGTTGGGAGAGGATGGGTACGGGTGGGTGGGTGAGTGGATGGGTGGTGGAGTTGGTAGATTGGTGAATGAGTTGGTGGATTGGTGGATGACATAGCAGGCAACGTTGCGAGAGGGTGGATATGGTGGTGTGGGTGGGTGAGTGGATGGGTTGGTAGAGTTGGTGGATGCGTGAATGAGTTGGTGGATTGGTGGATGACATAGCAGTCAACGTTGGGAGAGGGTGGGTGTGGTGAGGTTGGGTGGGTGAGAGGGTGAATGGGTGGGGGAGTTGATGGATGGGTGGGTCAGTGAGTTGGTGGATTGGTGAGTGAGTCTGGCAAGATGGCGAGAGGGTGACTAGAGGTGTGAGTGGAGGATAGGAGGGTGAGCGAGTAGGTTGCTTGGTGGGTAGTTGGGTGAGTTATTGTGTGGATAGTTGGGGGTCAGTGATTGGGTGGGTGGGTAGTTGGGGGTGAGTGATTGGGTGGGTGAGTGGATCAGAGGGAGGGTATAGGTAGGTGGGAGGGTGAGTGGCTGAGTGAATGTGTGGGCGCGTTAGTGGATGGGTGGATGAGTGAGTGAGTGGGAGTGTGTGTGTGTGGGGGGAGCGGTGGTGCAGCGGTTAGCGCGCTGCACTACTAATCCGGGCAGATACCCGAGTTCGAATCCCACTCACGGCCACCATCAGTGGCGATTATCTGAACCGGTCCTGAGCCTCAACGAGTACCTGGTTGCGGTGTCTAAACATCGTCACCGGGGAGACAAAGGCGGCCAAGCGTGACGCTGGCCACTCACCCCCTCGTGTGCCGTTCCGGCCTTCAAAAGTGCTCGCTAACAGCACTCGCCCTGACAGTCTGTTCAAAGGCAATGCGGGGGGGGGGGGGGGGTCGGAGGTATTTTTCTGTGTAAACTTTAATACTTCTACCGGGGCAAAGTGTATAACCGGGAGTGACACACACACACACTCCCACTCAGCCACGGTACACACCCAGTGAAACATACAATCCGCTCAGCACGCGGTGCAACTGACATAACTCGAATCGTATGTTCGACGCAGTCCTCACCCAGCCGTTACCCAATCCTCACCGTCACGCTCACCGCAGCGTACCCCGGGGACCCTGCGTACAACCTCCGGGTGCAATAGGGGCAGCTGCAATAGCGGCAGAAGTAGCAGTAGTGTGAGCAGCAGTTGAAGTTAGCAGCAGCGGTGGCTGTAGTTGCAGGAGTTACACAGCAGGGAGTAGGCATAGCAGTTGTACCAATAGTAACAGCAGCGGTGGTAGTAGCTGCAGTAGTAGCAGCGGCGAATATATGAGTAGGTGTGTGTGTGTCAGGTGTGTGTGTGTGTGTCAGTGAGTAGGTGTGTGTCAGTGAGTAGGTGTGTGTGTGATGTGAGTAGGTGTGTGTGTCAGTGAGTAGGTGTGTATGTGAGTAGGTGTGTGTGTCAGGTGTGTGTGTGTCAGTGAGTAGGTGTGTGTGTGATGTGAGTAGGTGTGTGTCAGTGAGTAGGTGTGTATGTGAGTAGGTGTGTGTCAGGTGTGTGTGTGTGTGTGAGTGAGTAGGTGTGTGTGTGTGTCAGTGAGTAGGTGTGTGTATGTCAATGAGTAGGTGTGTGTGTCAGTGAGTAGGTGTGTGTGTCAGTGAGTAGGTGTGTGTGTCAGTGAGTAGGTGTGTGTGTGTCAGTGAGTAGGTGTGTGTGTGTCACGTGAGTAGGTGTGTGTATGTCAGTGAGTAGGTGTGTGTTTCAGTGAGTAGGTGTGTGTGTCAGTGAGTAGGTGTGTGTGTCAGTGAGTAGATGTGTGTATGATGTGAGTAGGTGTGAGTGTGTCAATGAGTAGATGTGTGTGTGTGTCAGTGAGTAGGTGTGTGCGTGTCAGGTGTGTAGGTGTGTGTGTGTCAGTGAGTAGGTGTGTGTGTTTGTCACGTGAGTAGGTGTGTGTGTGTGTTAGTGAGTAGGTGTGTGTGTGTGTGTGTCAGTGAGTACGTGTGTGTGTATGTCAGTGAGTATGTGTGTGTGTGTGTCAGTGAGTAGGTGTGTGTGTGTGTCAGGGGAGTAGGTGTGTGTGTGTGTGTGTCAGTGTGTAGGTGCGAGTGTGTGTGTCAGGTGTGTGTGTGCAGGTGAGTGTGTGTGTGTGTCAGTGAGTAGGTGTGTGTGTCAGTGAGTATGTGTGTGTGTGTGTGTGTCAAGGGAGTAGGTGTGTGTGTCAGTGTGTAGGTGTGTGTGTGTGTCAGTGTGTAGGTGAGTGTGTGTGTCAGTGAGTAGGTGTGTGTGTGTCAGGTGAGTGTGTGTGTGTCACGTGAGTAGATGTTTGTATGTGTGTGTGTCACGTGAGTAGATGTGTGTGTGTGTGTCAGTGAGTAGGGGTGTGTGTGTGTGTCTATGCATAAACAGAACCCCCCCCTCGCTGTATGCGGGTTCGCTTTGTGCGATGTGGCGCTGCACATGCGCCTAACCTATTTCTACTCAAAATTCGTTCTATGCGCTTTAAATTCACACTTTGCGGTCGGTCGTGGGACAACATTGTGTACTGGATGTGTACTGTGTGTGGGCGTACTGTGTGTGTATTATGTGGACTGTGTGTATGTGTATTGTGTGTGTACTTTGTGTACTGTGTTTAGTAGTGTACTGTGTGTGCAGGGGTGTACTGTGTGTGTACTGTGTGCACGCTGTAATGTGTCATGCGTACTGTGTGTACTGTGTGTGTACTGTGTGTGTCCTGTGTGTGCACGGTGCACTGTGTGTGTACTGTGTGTGTACTGTGTGTGTACTGTGTGTGCACGGTGCACTGTGTGTGTACTGTGTGTGTGCTGTGTGTGTCCTGTGTGTGCACGGTGCACTGTGTGTGTACTGTGTGTGTACTGTGTGTGTACTGTGTGTGCACTGTGTGTGTACTGTGTGTGTCCTGCGTACTGTGTGTGTACTGTGTGTGTACTGTGTGTGCACGGTGCACTGTATGTGTACTGTGTGTGTACTGTGTGTGTCCTGCGTACTTTGTGTGTACTGTGTGTGCACGGTGCACTGTGTGTGTACTGTGTGTGTACTGTGTGTGTACTGTGTGTGCACGGTGCACTGTGTGTGTACTGTGTGTGCACGGTGCCCTGTGTGTGTACTGTGTGTGTACTGTGTGTGTACTGTGTGTGCACGGTGCACTGTGTGTGTACTGTGTGTGTACTGTGTGTGTACTGTGTGTGCACGGTGCACTGTGTGTGTACTGTGTGTGCACGGTGTACTGTGTGTGTACTGTGTGTGCACGGTGCACTGTGTGTGTACTGTGTGTGTCCTGCGTACTGTGTGTGTACTGTGTGTGTACTGTGTGTGTCCTGTGTGCGCTACTCGGCAGCCAGCTGTCTCCTCGTGCGGTTTCGCTTCGTGTGCACCTTTTTCTTTGGAACGCATCTACTACCACGACGACTACCACGGCGTCTACCACGGCGTAGAGCGGGTGACACCTGCAGTGCGAAGTGCGGAAGCATTGGGCTCGACACGAACTCGCTGCCAACATCGGTGACATAAAATCCGAACGAGTCCTGGGCCTCCACTAGATCGACTCGGCCTCGAACGAGTACCCGGCGTGGCGTTGTGTCGACTTCACCACATCAGTCACTGGGGAAGACAAAGACGGCCGGGTGTAGGGTCCTGACCACCCACGCCCCTCGTGTCTTTGTAAGCATTCATTCATACACACCGTGTGTCCACATGTACATCTACCTACAAGTGGCTGTGCTTATGCATATCTTTACGAGAATGTAAATCTATCTATACGTGTGTATGTGTGTATATACACGTGTGTAATTATCTATACGTATCTATGCATATGTCTATACATGTCAGTATGTATATCTGTCATATCTATGGGTGTGTATGGATGTACAGGTGTGTATGTACATCTATCATCTACAGGATGTGTCTGTGTGTATGTTTGCAACTGTGCATTATGCAGTAACCTCCCTTCTGGCGGATGTAATATTGCTTACCTACACACACACAAGGCGCCTTCCCTACTAATTGGGCCTCTGAGACTGGCCTCACAGACTCACTCATACGTCAAACACATCCATATGTTGCTCCTGGTGTCATCTCGGGTTTCTATATAGGCCACACGCACTTACACCAATCACTACGACCACGCTTGCCCGCCGCACAGCTCTGTACATACAGCGGCTAGCGCTGTTAGCGAGCACATATTATACAGGATTTTAAATATCAGTATTACGTGTAAAATTATTTTGTTTCATTATTTTGCAGACGTAAAGAAGAAGCCTGGGAGTTAATGATGAACCGGCAGACGACAATTTTAGCAGCGTGCGAGAGAGCAGTTGAAATTAATTTCAGCAACAATTGTTTAACTAAAGTTCGATTTAAAGCTTTCGTCACTGCAGGGATTCATCTTCTTGGTTCTTTCGGTAAAGTCACGTAGAAGGGAAATAATACAATAATAAAAAAACATAATAAAATAAAACATTATTAAACATAATAAAAGAAAACATGATTTATTATGTTTTATTTTATTATTTTATTATTTCCCTTCTACGTGACTTTACCGAAAGAACCAAGAAAATTGTTTAACTATTTGAACGCAGCGACGCTGCCGCAGATATTTTAACACCCGAACGGCTCCAACTCCGCACCGTG